AAAACATTATCTGTAACATTCACCTCCAACAGCCTCCTTTTTTATAAGAATAGCCCGAAAGATACGACGAAAACAACAACATATTATTCTCTATTCTAGTAGGTATTCAAATGGGTATATCAATCCAACGCCTTCAAAATAGTCCTGGCATGATCCAAAAATATGGGCAAGAAAAGACATGAGTGGGAAAGAAAGAAAAGAAGCATCAAGCCATCAATCGTCAGATTCATCCAACACAAGAGCTACAAGCTCTTCATCTTCAGCCCAATTCACACCACTGCCGACAACGATAGCGCTTGTAATACTTTTCATGGCTTCCCATTTCGCTTTACTTTGTTGGTGATCTGTTTTAACTTGCTCTAGTTGTTTCTTAATACTCATATCATCCAATTCTTCCCTCCAAGATTCGTCATTCTTCGTCAGATCTAGTAGCTCTCGAACGAGCGCTTTATTTTTGTGATGCAGTTGCAGATTTTCCACCTCTGCGTTGGATAACTTTTTAAGAGTCGAGCTGAGAGCAGCATTCAAGTTCTCATGCGCCAACGAGAGCACATCACGTCTATTAATAAGACGAAGAAGAGTCCTATACTTTGTTAGGCGTGTGCTAGACCCCGAGCCTAGGCTATTTGCGTAGATGTGACAAGTAAAGAAAGCGATGACATACTGTTCAGCGGGATATGTGGCTTTCAGATGAACAGCTCTGAGAGTAGGGTCTGTCATAAGAACAGCTCCAAGTGCCTTCCGCCTGACGGTGTAAGTGGCTCTGGCTTCTAGAAGCTCGTGCTCTGCTATGGCCAGCTGCTCTTCGGCATCATCCCCCGACAGTAGTTCGGCATCTACGAGTCATCAGTCTTTGCGTTCCAGGGAAGTATGAACATTTAAAGATAAAGAAGTCCTTCCGACACACATGGGGGCAATTTACCTTGCTCGAGAAGTGCCTTTTCGAGCTCTTGTTCCTGAAGTTGATGATATAGTTGCAGGATCAACGCTTCCTTGTCCGAGAAAGACACGGCATCCCTGGGGTCATCTTCTGCGAGATCCAACAAGGAAACCTCACCCGGGTCCAAGTGAGGTAAGGAACGGGCTTTCGCAGATGCCATGAAGTGAGATCTCGTGGCCGGCCGAAAATAGCATCGCGTGATAGGAGGCTTTTTTTATCGACAGCGTCGGCGACCGGGCGGTGGAGAATTTATGTTCGGCCGTGTTTTGGGTGGTTCCGGGGCCGTGTGTCAGTCAACCCAAAACGGGTCTAGGTCCGGGGAGCTCTTCAGGCCTGGATGCCTTGCGTTTATATGAACGAACTCCCTTATCTCCCCTCCGGTATCCTTCACCTCACAAAGAACTTCTGGAGCCGCTCTGTTCGGCAGGTGAGGTGGGGATGTCTTTACACATCTATATCGCTCACACGGGTGAGCATTTGCTTGCTGACCCGGTGTCGTTCGCATCGTATGTTCGGGTTCCTCCATCTATCTTGGCTTCACCTCCACTCTATGTGCCCGGACCATCCCTTGTGCTCCCTGTTACTTTATCCCCTTTGGTTCGAGGTGGGAATGCTGACTGGCGCCATCATTCTTGATCACTAGTCCCGATGCGCTTCGATCTTGGATTTCCCGAAACACCTCAATCCCATCCCAGAGACAGATCTTGATGACTGCTCGTGGGAAGAACGTTAAGATTCAGACATTAGCTACTGAAGTATGTTTCTCCCAGATACCGCTCCCACTTATCCTTAAGCTCATTATTTATATTAGGACGAGATATTCGTATATGACCGCAGATTTGTGAATGAACCCAACGAACAAGACTTCCCGACTCTTACCTCTCCACAACCGCTTGATTTTGAAAACCCCCCGATACCCTCACCGACCAGAATGATCTCCAAGCCTGGCGAAATCTTTACATGGCCAGACGTACCTGGGCCGTGGCCTTGACGGAACGTTGCGAATTAATCAATAAGGACATACAAGAGCATAATGAGCGAACTAGTATTATCAATCGCGCTATCAGTGTAGCTCTTGAGAACCTGAAGACTCATGTGGGGACCTTGGAACATCGGTTTACCGAAGCTCAGACGTGGGCAAATGATCTTTTGAAGGAGCAACACGTAGCGCTTGATGGATGGAAACGAACCTTGGCGATATTGGAGAACATTCCAGCTCGAAAAGAGTTCCCCTTCCTAGGACGCCCGTCAACTCCGACAAAGGGTAAAGATATGTCAACGGGGACGCTATGTGATTATCTAGACACAGATGAAGTGCACAGAGCTGGATCAGAGGCAGTGGATGTATCCTCGCGCTTTGCTCGACAGGTTGAAGACGTGGAGAAGGCTGTTGGCGGGATAGCTACAGACACTCAACACTTGGTGGATGCTGCGGTCCCTTCAGGTGTGGACAGTGTTGAGGGCCTATTACAGGAAGTGGAAACAATATCTAAGAAGATACAATCCGACCATGAACATGTCTTGGCTCTGCCCAATAACCAGAAAACGCTAGCCAACATTTCTAGACTTGCGCTGAGCCATACCAAGGACCTTCTCCCATCGCTATTGGAAGTTAGTGCCGAGATTCAAACCAACTTGGAGGAAGCCGCTAGGCAATATAATGCCACAGTGAAAGCTGCTTTTAATCACATGCGACAGATATCATTGATTGAGTCACGCCTTGCCGATGTGCAATCTCAAATAAACAATTTGAATTGCCAAAGCGATGCCTTCGACGTCCTCTACACTGTCTTCCACATGCCCTTTGTTTATGGGTCTATCTTAATCGAGTCTGTTCGGCGCCGTGAATTCAGTGATAAGATGAAGAGCGACTCCCTAACTCTAGCGGAGGAGATGTCCGTATTTCAGGATGAAGAGCAACGCCGGAGGAAAAAATGGATCAAGAACATGGGTGATTTCGTTTCGATGTCTGACACGACTACACCAGGGATCGAGGTTAATCTACGAGGCCAGGAGTATGACTGGCCCATAGTCAGTAGGAAGGAGATCGAGGCGTACATTGAGGAGCTGAAGACTAAACCTGGTATGGCCAGTCCAGCCCAAGAGCTGACCCAACTCTATAAAGAATTAGATGCTCCTACCCGCCTACAACGCCGTAGGGCAAAGGCTTTCAAGCAAGGCAGTGTCTTTGACCTAAGCCGAAGCTCTCTTTTACTTCGCAGCGATGACATGGTTCGGAGCTTGAGAGACGAGAAGTCTAAATTAGAAGAAAAGGTTAAAGGCTCTGAAAGCCGTATTCGGAAGCTTGAAGACCTGCTACATCGCCAGACCCATATGGGGAGGCCGGCTAGTGGAAATTTCTCACTTGACTTTCCTAGCTCTCCAGCATCGCCTCACCCTGATACGCTTTCAAGAAGGTCCTCTGTTTCATCAAGGCGGATGTCTTCGAACCAATCTTCGGAAGAGAAGGCGCTAGTGCAGCGAATTGTTCACCTAGAAGCCGAGTTGGCTGCAGAACGAGAGACAGTCCAGAAGCTGCAAAGGGACGCGCACGCGGAGCGCCAATCAAACACTGACAAGATACAAGAGGTGCAGTCCACGAAGAATGACTTGATAGGAAATCTTGAAGCCCGGCAGCGTGAGTTCGATGATGAACGCAGGTTTCTTGAAGGTGAGATGAAAAAGTGTAGGATCCGGGCTGAAGAGCTCGAGGAGGAGTTGGATAGAATAATGGAGAACCGAGAACATGAGAAGCAGGATGCAGACGAGCGGATTCACCAGCTTGAGATAGAACTTCAAGATGCTCATGCTCGTGCCGAAGGAGAGATACAGAAGGCGACCGACCTATCTGTATACACGCAGACCTTCAAAGAAACGGAAGAAAGTCTCCAGGCTCGGATCAAAGAGCTTGAGCAACAAGAATCCGAAAGAAGAGAGCGAGAACGAGAAAGTAACCATGCCTTACAAGCTGCTTTCATGAACCTATCGCCTGGGGGCTCAGTTCCAGTGGATACCCCTAGCATCGTCAAAGCTATCGAGGTACTTTCTGAAGGGTTGTCGATTCATGCTAAGAATGCAGAAGAAAGCTCCGCCAAAGCTGTAGCCGAAAGCAAGGAGCTTGGAGAACGCCTGGCCCAGATTGAATCGGAAGCCGAGGAGTTAAGAGAGACTTCGGAAATGCGCGCTTCAGAACTGTCCCGCATAAAGGAGGAACTAGCGCAAGAGACTTCGAGACTTCGAGCTGTTACATCTGAGTTGGATGATGAACGCTCCAAATTTATTGCCCTGCAGTCTAAGCTAGCCTCTGGTGAGACAGGGTCCGACGCCCTTCGAGAACGCGTCATAGAGGAAGAAAGAAAACTAGCAGACCTTTCCCAGAGACTGGCCGAAGTAGAAACTCAGGCCCGGAAGGCTGAGGATGAGGTCCTTGTTTGGAAGGAAAGAGTGGAAGCCATGGCTGAAACGGAGCAGCACGCTGTTGGTAAAGTCGAGACTTGCGGGACAAGATCTCAAGAGCTTTCAAAGCAGCTATTCAGACAAGTTGAAAAAGTGGAGCATATGCTGGAGCAATTGGGCTTCACTGTTGTCCGACAAAATGGCGATATTGTTGTCCAGAGGTCTTCTAAGGTTACTGCACTCTCAAGTACTGCGGAATCCCTCAGTCAGTCTGGAGTGGTATCCGTACGGCCAGACCCGGTCCTTCTTGACTGGATGCACGCCGATACCGCCGAAGAGCAAACCGATAGATTTATGGCTTTCATGGAATCACTATATCAGTTCGATGTTGATATCTTCGGGGATGCGATTGTCAAGCGCGTTAAAGACATTGAGGTACTCGCTCGCAAATGGCAGAAGGAGGCAAGGGGATACCGAGATAAATACCATCGGACTCAAAGTGAAGCTCATGATAAGATTGCATACCGGTCCTTCAAGGAAGGGGATCTCGCCTTGTTTCTACCGACGAGAAACCAAGCCATTCGATCATGGGCTGCTTTCAATGTCGGGGCACCACACTACTTCTTGCGCGAACAAGATGTCCACAAACTTCATACTCGAGATTGGCTACTTGCTCGCATCACGAAGATTGAAGAAAGGGTCGTGGATCTTTCGAAATCCATGAATGGTGCTAATCCTGATCGTCGATCGATTGGAGAGGCTAGCGATGGCACTTCCTTCGATGATGAGAATCCTTTCGAGTTGTCTGATGGCCTTCGCTGGTACCTCTTAGATGCCATGGAGGAGAAGCCTGGCGCACCAGCCACGCCAGGCTTAGGCAAGAGTACCGTTGCACCAGCCCATGTAGACGCCCGGGGTAGCATTCGATTGAAACGCACGAGTGCCGGAGGCAATGTTGCCAGGACTTTGAGCAAGAGCCTGGACAGTCGACGCAACAGCTCTAATTCTAAGAAAGGTCCGGCCACACCGTCCCAACGTGGCAACGATTCAACAACCGATCTTGCTCGACAGGCCGACGCCGATTCCACAACTGCAACTGCAGGCTCGCAGCAACGGGAGGCAGCCCCTACTTCAGAAGAGGTTCGCCGCGACCAGCTCCAGGGCCCGTGAACTCCACGGACCGTTTTTCTTTTCTACGCTTACGTCTCCTGGAAGGAGCTGACGATCCGTCATAGGGCTTGGAACGAACGCGTGGCGCACTTGGATCGGAGCAACAGCGGCAGACAGATGGCGTGAGGTCTCCTCTGTCTTCGCGGTTGGACTATTCAGGCGCCGCATCACCGTCCCGATTAACCCCAAGCGGGCGGCAGACTGCTCGGTACCGACCGTGGGAGAAACTTTGGTCTGTGGACTATCGTTTGGAGGGTGGAAGCCGATGATTGAGTAGAACCCGAGTGTGAGTAGCTTTCATGAACTACTCAGAAGCCGTGCTAGTCGGCTCTCCGAATTTATACTGCATGAAATTGCATGAATGATACCCATCGATTTCGAGACATGCTATGCTCATATGTTTCGTTTTTGACACCTTCAGTTTATTATGATATTCAAACCCGTTGAACACAACGGTGCTTATTTGGGGCAATGCAAAACAATGGTTATTGAATTAGACGCTAATATGTTCATAAAAATGCGAAACTTTCCCCCGGATTGCTAAGCAACCCTTGGTAACATGAAACGCCAAATAGCATCGATAATGTGGATGAAACCGTAGAAGCTACAAGAAAAGTAGTAAAGAAAAACCGATAGCGAGCGAGACACGCATGGAATCAATCAAGCTGCTCAGTAAACCCCTGCAACCCACCGACTTCCTCCCAAAAGCGGGCGAAATCAACGTTTTCATCTTCGAAGAGTTTCTTTGCTTGCACCATCGCCGACTGCTGCCTCTCGGGGGTAAACCCTCCGGGCCGAGTGCTTTCATACTGAATCAACTCTACCCAACGGAAGAAAAGGTCTTCTTTACCCATGCTCGTCAATTTTTCTTTGAATGCCAGGATCTGGTCTCGCTGGCCCGATCGCTCCCTTCCTTCAGGCGTGTCCTCATCTTCAACGTGCCAGATCAACCACCCATCAGCGTCTGTGTTCACGATTACGGCAGTCCGGAACTCCTCCAACGGAAGTCCGTCGTCTTTCTTCGCGTTGTCTACCAGCTCATGCGCTTTGATCATGGCATCATAGTCAAGGTTCCAGTCTGCATCCACGAGCAAGTAACCAGTTTTCTTGATTCGGTCCGGTGTTACCGCAGCGACGATCTTGTCCCTCATTTCTTCATCGTCCTTGATCCAACGACTGCGGTCCAATCCTCGGGTCAAAGTGGGCTGACTGCGGCGGACAATGATCTCCTGGTCACGGAACCCGATCTTGGAGCGCCACTTGACAGGGCCCTTGACGAAACTAATTGGCCAAGATAGAAAAACCGTCACTAGAAAGTAGTCGATCACGATGTTGCCCGTTCGACGCAGGGTTACGTTCGCCATTTCCCCCCATGACATGGTTGACGTGTCTACTGCCACCGTGCTAGCGAGCCCGATCAACGGGGCCAAGAGTGCCGGGTAAAAGTTGCGAACCATGTAGGCTCGGAAAGCTAGGAGAGCGGCGACCACAACATTGAGTACGGCGGGTGCGAGGAAGGTCTGCTGCTTGAGGTCTTTGGGAGAGGTGTCGATGTGGACGAGGTACACTTCCTTCGGGGAGAGCGGTTCGAGGAAGGGCTGGAGAGACGCGGGAGCTTTGGTAAACGGAGGAAGGGGTCCCGATTGTGAGCTTGGAGTTGAAGCACCTGATGATGATACGGAGGGGGCGACGGAGGCCTTCGCCTTTCCGGCTCGTCTTGCGGATTTGGCCATATCGTATGATAGAGTGGTTAGGCTTGGTTAACACATAGAAGGGAGGACTTGTAAGTTGATTATTCTGCAAATTAGTTCTGAGGGCCTGAAAGGCATCCGTTCCAAGGTTTAAATCCAGCTGGTCTTCGTATGTTGGAAGATCAAGGAGCTATGCGGGGGAGCGATCAATACATCTGATCGGGTCACATGTCGGGTCAGTAAAGGTGTCGTTCATCATATCCACTTGCAGATGACGACGGGTAAAGGGTCTGATTCGTACCGTGGGGTTTATTGCAATTGGTCAGCAGGCTTTAAACGGTAGCCTTGAGAAGGATAAGTGAAGAGGAGAAGAGAAGGAAGAGGAGGTTGACCTTCTCATGCCTCCCATGAATTCCTCCGCGCCGCTAACCCGATTGGGAGGGTCTGGATACCCGCGCGTTGCTCTTGCATTCACTTGCGGTCTGGACAAACACTCCATGGCACATTCCTCTACCTTGGCCATGAAACAGTGAATGGGCGGATTAATGAAATTTCCCGAGGGACCTCCCACTGATCACCATGGCTACCACCGACCGCAGGTCCGCGCGAACAGGGCCGTCGCGTCGCAACTACGAGCAACAGCAACTCTCTCCTTTCCATCGAGCATATCTTGAACCCCACGCCACCGACCGTTTTGACGCGTCGCAAATACCCAGTCCTGCGGGCGAGTTTCGCGCTCGGCGTCGGAGGAACCTCAGTCAATCAGGCACCCTGCGAGGTGCGTTCGAAGCCGTATCGCGGTATCCAACAATGTCGGAAAACGTCACGGGGGACCCTTATGCATTGGGGACCCCGAATCGGAGGAAACAGAGCTTCGCCCACATATCCCCCGACTCCAACCCCCCGAACGAGCTGGCGGAAACATATAGGCAAATCGACGACGCCGGAAGCTTGGTCGATCAGGATGAAGAGGACTTCCGTTTCTCCGCAAACCGGTTCCGCGACAATCGAAGTACACGCTCATCATCTGGATCTAGGACCCGAGGAAATAGTCTGTTTAGCACTGCAGATGCAGACTTTCTGAACGAAGTCGGCGACGAGTCCCTCCGCCGAAAACTGGCCGACCACATCAAGGACGAACAACGTTTAAAACGAGCTACCGCGAACCGGTCGCCTGTGTTGAGCAAAGCCGGAACGCCGGCGGCGTTGACATCAGAGAATTTACAGAGGCGTGATGAGGAAGAGCAGGAGGTGTTTCAAGAGGACGAAGAGGAGGACCATCTCAGGCCTTCGTTGAACGTCCCCGCCAACTGGGGCAGCAGGGGCACCCATCGTCGGGACTGGCTTAGAAATATCACCCGACGCACCGAATCCGAGTCTGGGCGGACTGAGGAAGGACGCAAAGAAGCGTCTCCGCGTAAACTCAACACAGATATGCGCTCACATACCGGATTTCAAGATCGAGTCAGTGAGGGAAGCCGGAATGCACTGGGCGAGCCTCCATCCAATAGGTATAATAGGATCCCTCCCTCAGATGCGCACGCCAAGCTCTTCTCAGGGCAGAAGGACGAGAAGCTAGGTGAGGGAAGTCCAATTCCGAACACCCCAATCATGGTATATAAGAACTCTACATTTAGCAAACGAAGTCCAACTAAGAGGGACTCGCATGACCTTCTTCGCAAGCTATCCAGGGCAGAGAGCCCACCCCAAAACCAAGCCGAATTCACAACCCCAGAAAACTCAAAACTGCCTGAGAGGCGGATCTACGACAAAACGCCGGTTGTAACTGCGCCTGGATAGATACGCCATTGACTGAACGAATGAAAGAGCTCCCAAAGCCGCGCCTGAGCAACCTAAGACCACCAACATCCGGAAATAATGGTCTCGCAGCATCGTCTGGACTTGGAGTACCAACCATTATTGAAGAGCCCAGCAACTCTGGGTTGCAGCAGGATTCTGTAAACGAGAAAGAAAGGAAAGAGCAAGACAAGCCAACGGCTTGGACGAATGAAAGGAAAATGGAAAGGGAGAAGGAAAAGGAAAGTGTGGCAAACATGAAGCCAATGGATACGAGCCAAAAGGAAGACAAGGAAAAGGGCAAGAAGACAGAGAACCAAGCAGAAAAACAGAGAGACAAGAAGAGGCCACCGCTGATCAAACCTGATCTCCCGAAGAGTGCCTTGGAAACTGTCATGCAAGATTTCAAGGCTGACAAGGATTCTTTGGACGTTGGCGATGACACGCTCGAATCTCTCCAACAAATCCTCGACGAGAAACCAAGTGATCTAAAAACTGAAGCAGAAAACGATGCAGAGTACGAGAAGTCTATCCTGCAGAAACTTGAACTCGAAAGCTCGGGAAGCAGTGATGGCGTCGATCTTGATAGGCTGAATAAAAAACTGGAGTCCCTGACCGAGAATATCAACAAGGTGAAGAAAGGACTTAATGGCTTAGAAGATCAAGTCATACGGGATGCCGCTACGCTTGCTACAATACCAGCTTCTCCGACAGGACAGCTACCATCGAGTCATACGTGTGACAACTGTCCAACCTGCAAAGCTCACCACAATGGATTAACCTCTGCTATTTATCTCCCACGCTTATGGAGATATGACCCTAGCTCACGCCGTATTCGACCCACTTTCCTTGGATGGTGCAGCGGGTTGTTGCTTCTGTGGTACTTCTCTGAGTCGACGATGTGTGATTACTACTGTCATCCCTTTATTGCTGAGGCATGCGAAGGAAATTGTCTGCTTCCCGATGCTCCACGCTTTCCGTTCGTCATTCCAACAATGCTCTGGCGCTGGTTGCACCTATCAGCCATCTGGGCTCCACTCTGGGCCGTGATGGTGGCTTTCTTCAGACTCACAACCCAGCTTCTGGGAATCTCAGATGGCTATGTGGATGATACACCCCCTCGAGCGCTCAACCTTTCTGGCGAGATCCGGATACGTGGGACTCGTGTAGAAGGTTTTCCTGCGTTTGCAACCTCTAAGTATGACTTCGGTGCACCTAAGAAGCAACAGCAGCTACCGACTCAGAAACCCACTCCGATTGCTGTTCCCGAATTGGATCTAGGGTCGGATGTACGTCAGGAGGGTAAGGCCACCTTGGAAGATGACTCCATGGATGATGATGAATTTATCTAGCGATGAAATACTGGTGTTCGTTTTTTTGGGATGGTGAAGTATTTGAATAGCCTTTTGTTCTTTGTAACTTAATGTTAAGGATGTCTGACTTGGAGCAGATATAGCTGGAATTAAACATGATCCAGATTGTATGTACATCATAAACTACTGACCAACATTAAGTAACTACACTTCACTACTTCGGATGTCAGTCAGTCAAGGTAGGTTCTAAGACTATCAACAAATACCACCTCTTTAAAAATAGGCTGTGTCAATTCACAAACATCGGTTAAGAGGTGAGGTAATCAGCTGGCATTTGTCGACCCAAAAGTGGTCCGCTGGAGTACGGTGTCCTACACATAATCACGGCATTAAACAGCAATGAAAATAGCATTAATTTCACTAGTAACTACCCTTAAGGTATAATCAATACACTGGAATAGGAAAAAATGAACACTTAGACGTTCTTCACTTTAGTTAGTGACATTTCCATCCCCTCCTCTCTAGATTATTTCATCAGCAAAGCTTGGCTTCATCCTTCGTACACGCGTTATCCACATAATTAAAGGTAAGCTCTCCATCATCCACATTATTATTACCCTGAGGATAGTAATATGGCACACTTCCGCAAACCTTGCATCTGTAGCATGGTGTCAGTAGCTCTCCTCCAACATCCACCTAGACAAGGAGAGAGGAGCAACCTACCCATGTTCCGGAATATAATGAGCCAGACTCTTGATCACAGCACCATTGCTACCACCGGTGTTCTGTAGGAACGCACAGAATCCGCCATTGCCGGTGATGGGAGCACCGGATCCGACACAGGCGATGTGTTCACCGTTGTTGTACCAGCGGTTGGGGTCAATGCCGTCGATGGCGCGTTTGAGCTGGAAGGCCATCTGGGTGTTGCCGAAGGTGTTGCAGTTCGCTGATCCGCGGCAGTTGATTCCGAGCGAAGCTTCGGAGGAGGACACCAGAGTGATGGCGAGGAGGAACCCTTGGATGATGGATGAGGTGTACATAGTGGATTAATATTTTTTTTTTTTTT